TTTACCGCCGAAATCAACGCGTTTATTTTAAAAACACAGCTGAAACACACAGTAGAGTAGTAGCGCTAAATTTTAACGCAGTTATACAAAAAAATTGGAGTTTATCCGCACTTTTTGGTCAAAATCTTCGTAGAATGTGTTCGCACGCATACTATTTTATATTGACAATATTTGTTTCCCCTGCTCTTGACGTCACAAATTTATTCTCACACAAATTAGCATACCAGGTTTTTTTCAAGATGGCGGACAACTGTCGAAAGTTTTATGATATTTCTGAACAACTAAACGCGATAGACAAGTGAAAATACGTAATTAAGTATTCCGTAGATATGTTTAATAGATATCGAGAATAAAAAAATCTATTGCCATTGTCCTTTAATTGATTTTGATTCAGTCCAAAGACTTAATTAATTTTGATAGATGACAGAGTCGCTATGCTTCAAACAGAGTCGCTATACACCAACGGTATTGAGTGGGTGGTCATCACTTATCTCAAACTATTACTGTTGGACAAGAGTGAAGAAGGCAAAAAATATAAAAAATAGGTACGCTTCGCGTACATGAATCTACGAATGGCAATAAATCGTTGCCCCACCCTAGCCTGTGGTGAATCGACAACTTTTATTAAAAGGTGAATGGCCGCCACGCACTAGCTAGACTAGAATATAATCAGATAATAATATATACGTGCATGAACAGTAATATACCGGTAATTTGCGCAAAAATGGTTATTCCAAATTAATTAAAATATTTACAGTTCTAATTGTAGGACAATACTGCTCACCTCTAACAAGCTTGTGGAGGGGGGGGGGGGCAGTGGACCCCCCCCCCCTAGAGAAAATTTAACTTTTCAATCTTATATGATCATCAGTCAGGAAATGAAAAATTGATACAAACAATACTTTGGTTATAGAGCCTCGTTTTCGTTACCCTGGTCACAGAATAAAGATCAGTAACAGAAGGGCAACTCAGCGGTGCAACGTGTCCTCGTTTTTTATGCAAAATATGCAGTTTACTGGCCAGAAGGCGGAGCAGCCAGCCAGTACAGCGTGTTTAATTTATTGGCCAGAAAATGTCATTGACTGGCTAGGAAAATGGCGGCCAACATGTGTAATGCGACATGCGCGAGGACAAAAACTTCAAAGCTTCCGACGTAAGTTGCCCTTCTATGTGGATCTTTATTCTATGCTCTGGGAGCCAGAGGCTCTTCCACGCTCGTATGGGGGATAATGAGGGATACACGAGGATTCAAGCTGGGAGGCGGCGAGCGGGAAGAACCTCTGGAACAATTCTATGGCTTTTACTGTTTTAACTGTCACATGTCAATCAAACGTTAGCCAATAGGACACGTATTTATTTTTGACTGATGATGATTTGGGCGTGTTCCACCGCACATTTGAGCGATAGAAATTGCGACAGAATGTGTCAATTTCAAAACAAAAAATTAAAATTAGCGAGTCTTTATAGTAAAATATAACCGAATAATATTATATGGCCACATGGCATCAGACCGTACACCTGTGGAAAGTGTTACAAAAAAGGAGAGACGAGTATTGTCGAGTTTGTGGTGAATTTGTTAGTCACAGTGGGTATTTTAATACATACAGTAAAAGGATCGTCGCCTCGGTAGATTGAACTTTGAAGCATTTCTTGTTCATCATATAATACAATCGAATATTTGCCGTCCAAGGCGGCAAAGCCCTGTTTATATGGAGGCGAGTTACTCTGCAATTGGCGAATAGAACTTATCTAATGATTCGTATATGTTTTCGCCTCTTTCTGCCGGGAACTCTTCACTGGCGAGTTTATACTTTTTACTACATGTAAACAGTCCTGAGTCCCCCGGGTTTACTATACTGTATAAGTTTCTATAATATAGCGGGGATCTTGTCGTTGACGAGTATAAACTGGACTTGCCGGGTAATTCGCCTCGATATAATAGGCCTATAAAGACTCCCATGTTGTCTTGACATGCTTGATTACTAGACAGCCACGCACACGAAATTCCCTCTTTTGGCAATATAGCGAACATATCACGTCGATGCACTAACTGAAACACAGAAACAAGGCATCATCTTGATGTTTATTGAGTTTTGTAACACAGTCCAGTAAAAAAATTAAAAATCGAATCAACGGCGAACGAGTTGTTGAAATCCTTTCGCAAGACTCTCAAAACTAGAGGCATATATATTTACGACTGACTTTGTTATAAATATTATATTATTATATTAAACAACAGCGTATGCCTGCACGGACTCTGAACGATAATATCTTGAAGGACATACGGTTGAAACAGCCAATGAAAGTCATCGTTTTAACAAGTCCCTGCCGTTAACCCATTAACACTGTGACCCAGATTCTGGATCACTTCACACTATTAAGCATCGTGATTGGTGCAGTTCGATCTGAGACCATAGAAGTGTTCCAGAGGTTGTTCCCGCTCGCCACCTCCCAGCTTGAATCCTCGTGTATCCATCATTATTCCCCCTACGGGCGTGGAAAATCCTCTGGCACCCAGGGTACGTTTTCGTGCATGTGTAGTTAAAGTCCACCTTTCAATCACAAAAACGAGGCTCTACAGCCAAGGTGACGCAGTTTCCGGAAGGGTTTATTAGATTCTAGTATTGAATAAAATAGTAAAATGAGGTGTGGTTTTCATAGTAAATAAAATAGATGTTATAAATTCCACTTGCAGTGATATTTCCATCACTATGTTTCCAACCGAAGCTGTGGCATGATTTTACCACCCATATAATCAAAATATGCAAAATATTTTTGATGGCATATACTCATGTTGTCACTTGTCAATCCATAATCATAGAATTTTTGCCAATGTCAACTGTTGAGTAACATACACAAACTATTGCAGGAACATACGTTACTGTAGCAAACCAATAATCATCAGTAAAGAATGTTTTGATTTTTGAAGGCCACGAGTATATAATTTCATGCCATCCCTGTGCACAGGTAATAATGCTAGATCACACTATTCAGTATAACATAGCATATACATGTAAAAACAAAATCCGTATGACTATCACACGTTTAATTTTGTATCTAGCTGTTAAGTTCTTATAATGTACAAATTGAAAACAATTACTTGCATGTTTAAACTGATTATACACGAATACACTGAAAATGTTGATTATGATACTTTAATTCTTACATTAAAACTATAAAATCACAAAAACACTTTAGTACTGTAGTAAAATATATTATAAATTTTCGACAAAAACTAAACTCCTCTATCATGCCGCCATGTTGAATTTAGCCTGCGAACAAGCCGCTGTTTTCGCACTGATCTATATGTACTGTAGTTCACTGAACAGTCATTTCCGCATGCGCGCTGATTGGCCATGCACCGATGCACGGTCATGAGTTAAAATACCAGTCGCTGATTAGCTAAGTTAACAGTGAACAGGCAACAATTAACACGTCGATAGCATAAAATCTACTTCGTAGATGCAAAAATGCATGTAAGAAAGCTTGGAAAATTGTTTCACATACCAAATTTTACAACTTTTTTGCAATTTTTAAACGTAAACATTGATAAGAATTGATATTCTATGAGAAATCCTAAAGTATAGGGCAAGTTTGTTTAAATTGTTTATGTATGACTTTGTATTTAATAATATAGACTTTGTTCTTGATCTTCAAGTATTTCCTATGCATTGTTTGCGAAAGTTTCATGGTTAAATTAACTTTTGTAGAAGTTCGTGATAAAAAGTAAAGCAAATTATTTTCGTTAGAGTCCTGTACGATTTAAATTTGTTTCATTTCAAAGTGCGAGTATTAGTAATTAGTTGAAGCTCGAGTTGAGAAGTTTATAAATATAGGCAAAAAGAGGTTAATTTCAATTCACATTTAAAAACGTTTTACGTATAGTTTCCTTTTTTAATTTTACATTAGAATAAAGCCCATAGAAACCAAAATATTATACCTACTTCCTACTTTATATATTTTAGAAGTTCTGTATTTAAAAGTGTTCAAATTTCATCTATTTTCCCCGGTTTGTACAAAGAATTAAAAAAACAATTATCGTGTTGCCATGACTAACATGATGTGAGCAACGCGAGCCTGCGTTCAGTGTTGCCGTAATTACGAATACTTCATGTTGAAACAAGGTTTTAAAAATATAGGCGAGGGGTTTTTGCATGCATGTATTTGTAGTCAGGTATCCAGTACTATCATGTGAGCAAAAAAAACAATATGGTTGGCTAATTTACTGATGATTTATTAATGCATTTTAACTTTCGCCAATTGTATGCAGAAGCTTAAGGCAAAAAAGTGAAAACTCTTGGTACATCTGGATTTTGGGCATGTCTCTCGATATAACTAATTGTTAAAGGAAGATTTAGACGGAATTTCGAGTAGATTTTTAACTATTTATTAGACCTAACCAGGAGCAGTTACAAGAAATGCAACTATACCGGCCCTCTGGCAGAAATGGGACACGCGGTCCGGCATTCACGTGAAGCGCTCTAACCAATTGAGATACACAGAGACAGTTTTCGAGCTCTAACCACAAGTTCATTTATAAACACTAAGTTGATGCCAATGTACTTTGTAAAAGTGAATTTCAGTATTTTGTGCATCTCGTTCCAACGTAACTTATTATTGAGTGAATGAGTGGAAGAAAATCTCGGGTGGAATTTTATACATTTAATTAATGGTTCTAATTAGCAGCAGTTACGAAAAATCTCTTTCAAGATTGGGTGTATCAAATCTATTCGACAATTAGTGATATCGAATGAGATGCTCCAAATCCTGATATTAAGAATTTTTTTGTGGCTCAGTTAGAGAGCTGCACCGGAATCACAAGGCCACAGATTCGCTTGAGCTAGCTAGTCAAAAACCTGATTATCCAACCCGCATCTCTTAGGTACCAAACCGGGTGTAAATAATGAACGGTCCCTAGATTTAACAAATGTTGAAATGGACGTACATGTACAAAAACTGCATTCGAGATTCGCATCTACAATTTCTTTGTACATCACGTTTTATAGACAAAATATCCATGTCCTTAAATTTGACAGAAGATTAAATTGATTACCTTGCATTTCAGCACTACGACAGTGACATTTGCTGATGATGAAACGTGTTCTGCATTCTTCAAAACAAAGCGGTTTTGAGTACGCAGATGTTCCAAATATCTTCTTGTTTGCACATTTACTCTTATATGGTGGTGGAAGCGATTTCACCTGAAAATAATAATAATAATGGTATAAATGTATAGAACGGCAGCCGTCCATTCTGCGTAGTCTTAAACCTTTTTACAATTCGAGTCTGATTTCCCTCAAGGGCGAGTCTGATTTCCCTCAAGGGCGAGTCTGATTTCCCTCGAGGGCGTAGCAAATATTCCTTTCGCTCCGTCCCCTATTTCTCTTCTGTATTAAGTAATTAATAAGTTGACCCCGTGGATCGAAAAGCGTGGAGTGTGTCCATAGGCGTACGGAACGGGGGGGGCAGGGGGGCAGCTGTCCCCCCCAAAAAAAAAGATTACAAAGTCGAAAAGTCGGGTATATGTTCAACAAAAGTCGGGCAAAAGTCGGAGAAAAAGTAGTCAAAGCAATAAAATGTCTCGTAATAATAACCCCAGTTTGTTGGGCAAACCAAGCCAGTTGAGCAATATCCGCTTCACAGTCGGGCAATATTGGGTTATTATAAAAATTAATGGGATAAATTCAGCCAACTTTGGGTGAATTGAAGTTATGCAAATTTTGTGATGTTTGGGAAAATTTGTTTGACGTTCCGAAAAATTTTGGTATGTCCGGAAAACGTTTGGACCCCTAAAATAGTACACAGACCGAACTTTTTTTGGCGACGGGGTGGGGGGGGGAGGGTGGGGGTGTGTCGCCAAAATTTATTGTTGCGGAAAAAAAATAATTTCGGGGACTGGTCGGGAACAATTCGAAAAAGTCGGGCAAATTTCTTTCTGCCCCCTAATTTATTCCTTCCCGTACGCCTATGAGTGTGTGCAGACCACCATTCTCCCTCCCTTCTTTATGCTTACTCCCGTGATATCCCTCTATAATTTAGGACCACTCGTCCACTCCCGCCCGTGCAAAGCCGGTTTCCGCCTTATATTTTAGTAAATTTTCACTGAAAAGGAATGATGATCGGATCTATAATTCGTCAGTTTTAGAGAAGATGAATAGATAATGTAGATAATGTGGGGACTCTTCAAAAATCGCCTTGTAACTGGATTGAAATTCTGTACATAGCTAATTTTTGTAATTTGGAAAAGGCCCAATATATTGATGTTACAATTTTAATCACTTTATGGCGATATCTGTACACGTTGGAGTATGCATGTTCAATGAGGGAACGTGATATTATAGATAGATTCGCCATAGATTGGAACGGGGGTAAAGGTCCGATGTTCGAGTGTGGGAGTAAACTTACCTACCAAATTGTTTTCAGTGTCGTGATTTCATGTATGAGTACATTATTCATGCAAGTCACTGGCGAGGTTGAGGAAATATGAATGATCACCTCCTAAGACTTGACGTGCAACAAAACAAATAATTGTGTACTGTTAAAGCTACTAGTGAGGTTAGGCAGAACACTCACCGAGAAACTTTTGAAAGTTTAGATCCTTTTAATTAAAGCCCGAAAATGCAACCAAAATTTTGCATTTTAATCTTCCTTCACTTTTAATTCCCACGTTTTTCCTTAAATGTTCTTCCAATTTATCTTATAAGCAGCTCAAGTTACTGAAATATATACCTAAAATTACTTAATATGAAAGAGAAGAGAGGGTGGGTGAATGTTATTACCCCGTACATCCAAACACCAATGCACTCCAGTTGCTACTGTTAAATCCACTACGAAAATATATAACTTTTATTACAGCCAAAATTGTAATATTACCAAATACCATATAGTGGGACACATTCTTGGGACTATCTGCAATTGCAGAAAATGTCTTTTTTCAGACGGTTGGTGGCACTTTAGGTTGAGACCGGAATAGGGTAACAGAACAATGATGATAATGCTGAGAAATAGTAGCAGAACCTCGGCGACGGATTTTCTGCTTTTACTTTTCATATAGTTGCGCACATCAGCCGTGCATTTATTGCAGGTCTTACTTGTTTTGTTGTAACTGCAACAAAAGTACTTGTGCCAGGCATCACCGCGAAACCATTCTCTTTTATAAGTGGCGATTCATCTTGTTTGTGTATGTGTACTTTAAATCCGGCTATTTCGCCTGCAAAGCCGTAGTAGAGATCTTGCTGAGGCGAAAGGTGTAATTTAAGACCAAATTCTACGCCTGGATTCTCTATTTTCATAAATGAAAAATCTGCCAAAGGAAGTAAATAGGTATTTAGCAATTATGCATGACGGTGTCACGGAGTTGGGGGGGGGGGGGGCGTGGAGATGTATGAATACGAAGTCAGCTTCATTCCATAATATTTCAGCTAAAATTCATGGCGATTGCTCTCATGCTGCTTTTGAAGTATGCAGTAAGTTTGATCATTTCACTAATTACAACATGCATCGAAAAATAATGCAAATGTAGTGACACCATTGTATTTTAAATATGGGCCCCCTTTGACCGTTTCTTAGTTTTTTCGTTATTTCTGTTTGTTACTCATTGCCATTTCGTAGTTAGCTGGCACGCAAAAAGAATTGCTAGAATATCGAATTGGATAGAAACTGTGTTATTTTTTTATACAATTTGAAAATAAAATTCGCAACATGCTAAAATGCTGCTTACTCGTAGTATGTAGATTCATATATAACTTTAGCAGCTTTTTGACTACCAGTGTAACTTCTTATTTGGATAAGAATTTTGAAAGCATGCAGAGATTAATTTAAACAAACCATTGATTATCTCATAAAAATCTGACCATTATATATATCAACGAATTCAAATATAATGAGATGGAAATGTATCATGCATAATGTTCTTTTCTATTACTTGAGGTGTAATACATACAGTCTACGATCATAATCTCTGATACTTATGGCAGGGTTTGATGAACTCTTCAATACTTAAAGTGATATTTCATCACATACCTTTATTAAAAGTGTAACAAAGGCCGAGTCTGGTCACAACTGGAGTAAAATTTTGTGCGTAACAATTTTTCCCACGAAACTCGCACAAATGCAACATCTCGTCCAACTTATGTGCACCATCTCGATACATCTTTTCCATCGATGTTTCGGTAAAATTTCCCAATGCAAAAAATTTTGCTGCGGAGAATGACTTCTTGTGAAAAATTGACATAAATTGGGATAGCTTAGTTCGCTCAGAGTAGTCCCTCCGAAATGGATTAAAATTACAAATTGTAATAGCAGGGACATCGGCAGCATCCTGATTCACTAAAGTAATATGAGTAATAACGTCATACGAAAAAAATGATAAAACAAGAATCTGTGTAAATTTCAGGTAAGCTGCGGCAGCCACAAGTAAACAAAACAACCAAATTATACGTTTTTTCTTCGAGCCCTTTTTGAACACGTTTTGGATTCCATGAAGTGTTGTCGATTCGGTGAATTCTCGACATATGGATGCTGCTGTGGTTCTCGGTTCTTCGGGTGAAACTCTTGACTTTGACATTGTAAGTTACAATATAGAACTTGATAAACTGTTCGTTGCAGACGGAAATATTGTCTATGGCACATATTAAACATTAAAGTTTGTTGAAAGAACATTGATAGATTTTATTTTGGTGAACCAATCATATTTAGCTAGTTTCACGCTGATTGGCTGAGCTAATTGAAAATATCGAAGCTCGTTAAAACAATTAAATGTTTCCCGTGAAAAAATAGTAGGCGATTTCGATATAAGTAAAAGCTGATCGGCATCAGTATTTAAGCTGATCAAATTGTAAAGAACTAATACCTAAATGTCCTAAATGTCATGATGCATTAACAAAATGAAATAAATTAGGCTACTTGATAAAAATGCAGGTGAATATGTTGGACACCGCTAAGTTATACAAATTTGAAACGCCACATTTTTAATTAATTAAGGAATTTTCGTTATAATTAGTCTTTTGAATATTACTCGGATTCATGCAACATAAGTACAATCAGTTTCAAAAGTCATGGTACAGATGCCACAAAACCTTTCAATTTCAACAAACGTCAATCCCCCCGCCCCCTGTTCAATGTTGTGTCCCATTTCTCGTCAGCTTTGATGTGTTTTGGTTGGAGCAACATTGATTGGGGTGGGAGGGGGGGGGGAGGGGAGCGGTATTGTGCGTAAAAACTGTAGTGATCCACTTACAAGCTAAAACTACATGTGTCCCAACAACTTCTGAAAGTGATTGTCTGGGCCCCATGTGCCATAACACCATTGTATATCTCAAAAGTACAGGGGATAGAATGCTCTGCGAAAGAAGTATTTCTGCTCCATTTTGTTCACAGAAGATCTAATATAACATTTTAAAACAACTAAGTTCCATTAAAATTCTCAAAGTTAATAATTAACAGGATATGAATATAACTTGTGTTGTCATATAGCATTCTTAATCGTTATTTGGTTTTACAAATTTCGGCAGAGCACAAGTGGGTTATTTGAGAGGTTATAATATATACCGTATAGTCCGTCAATATAAAGATAGCTATCGCGCATATTTTACGTTAGATACGTCACACTTACTGTTAATTTATAGCATAGTAATATATAACATCCGGTTAGTTTCGCATGCGGGTAACGGCTGAGTCAACTGCTAATTCGGGTACTCCAAAGGTAAAGAACGTTTGCTTTATAATCACTTATGGTCAATGTGACATTTTACATCTTTCTAGAGCAGAATTTGCAGCTATAATTGTCGACGCATGGGTAGGAAGGAGCACTAAGTAGGTGGGAATGTCGAAGGCTCATGGAAAGGGCGGTAGTACTTGGGAAAAACACATTAACCATATTAGCAGTAAAATATCATCAGGTATTGGGGCTATTAGAAAAATGAGGGAGTATGTCGAACAAGACATTTTGATAAAAGTTTATAATGCCTTAATCCAACCTTATTTTGATTATTGCTGTGAAGTATGGGATACACTTAATAAAGGCCTAAGCGAACGTCTACAGAAATTCCAAAACAGAGCGGCCGGCTAGGTTGATCATGAACTTAAAAAATGAACATGGTCAGTCTATTTTGGCACGAAAATCTCTAGGCTGGGTAACACTTGAAGAGCGTAGGGCACAAATTAAAGCCAGGCTCATGTACAAGACAGTTAATGGTTTAGCCCCCCAACGACTATGCGAAGCTTTCCAAAATCTGAATACCATTCATGACCATAATTTGAGAGGTTCTTCAACAAGGTTTTATATTCCAAGACCAAAAATGATCCGGAATCCTTAAAAAAAAGCTTCCAATATAGTGGGGCTAAACTATGGAATCAAATACCTGAAGAGATACGCAATTCGGTATCGTATAATTCGTTCTGTAAAAAGCTATCTTCCTCGACCTTAATCTCGACTTAAAGTAGTAGTTAATTTTTTGTCTAAATAGGTATATAATTGTATTTGTTATGTATGTAATATTAGAGCTAGTAGATAAATAATAATTTGTAAGTACACATCCCTTTTGGAAATCAGCTTTTGCTGAAAAGGCAAATGTGTTTAAATAAAGTTGATCTATCTATCTATCTATCTATCTACTAGTCACATCCACACGGCAAAAAAAATGTCCACAAGATCGAGGTGGCGAACTATCGGAAAGCTCGAGAAGAGTAAATGTGGCATTTAATTGAACTTTTGCGCAGACAATCTCAAAAATTACTATTCAACGCATTCGTACGTAGTAAAGGAAGACCCGGACTACGTGTTTTCTTTAGGGCTTATAGGCCTCCCCAATGCTGACGCGTTAGCGAGTACTAGCGCGACCCGCCGACGCAAGAAAGTTGCACAGGGTTTCAAAATTAGGTAACGAAAGGGACTCGCAGCATACGGCGTTGTACGCATTATACAACACTGACGTTAGTGTTATTCGCTAATTATGTTAATAAGCGTTTCCGGTCGAGACGAATGCAATGCAACTAACATCAGTTGACACTTCGATTGTCATTATAGAAATATGAAATAAGAGGCAACTAGACATCTTTTAAAACAGAACAACGCTAAGAATAATTTGTTGAGAATGTCTAACAATGTATTTGCTATTAATGAAATGGTTTGACATTGATTAAACCAAGTTTTGTATCGATTGACACTTTTTTACATAAATAAATCTGATATATCATAGTGATATTTCTAGAGTTGAGTGTCAATCGATACATTTTATACAATTTATATACTTTGTGATTATATTATACCTCAAATTCAAATTGTCCAATCAGAAAGCTTGGTTTGTGCCACGTGAGCATGAAATTAATCGCGATATCACGCCTTACGTCATCAATTAGCGAGCCTGCGTTCTTTTTGACAATGTTCCGCCCCATGTTCGCCGGGGAACATGGGGTGGAACATTATTCGCGTAGACCACGCGAGACAACACGCATGACAACAACATGGCCGACAAAATATAAATAGTATTGATGAGTGATGAATAATCTGTGTAAATGACTGTAAAACCTGGGGCTTTTTCAAAATTTTGCAGTAAATTTTGAAAACTGTTGTCAGTAATATTCCGAACGAAATGTGATTCGAAAGAAAAGCGACGATACTTGCGTTAATCCGAAAACAAAACATCGTATTCACGAAGGTATGTGTCAAGTTTTTATTGCTCAACTTGGAGGCTTTTAATTTTCGGTATAATATATCATTTATAGACATAAATATCATCACTTCGGGTAATATTTCGCCGAATCTCCCTTGCTCCAGGTCTATAAATGATAAAAGTAAAACCCGTAATATATCAATAAGCGCTCCCTAAATACGTTTGCTTGGTACTTGATGTTCTGAAAATGATTATGCCGCGACAATTGAAAGTTATATCAATGAAAATGCTACGTGTTTCAAAGTGACAACCGAGTGACAATCGGGCACATGTTCAAACCGTTTTATACTACATAAATATTTTCATGTAAAATATGCACATTCTTTAAGTGGTCTTCGATAACTAACCCTTGATTTTATGTAGCATTAACCTAAGTCGATAATTAATCAGTTAGATGTGTTTTCTCCCTTGCATATAGACCAGGTTTAATCTTTCGGCATACTACCCTCCCCACACTCACATCTTTCCGTATAAGCTCATTTATAATACACTGGTGGTTGTGTTACATTTCAAAGATATTGACCACAACCGAAGCACAGTAAGGGAGTTACATATGCCAATGCTATTCAGTAAACATGTTATACTAATTGCTACATGTTTTTCGCGAAACTGATATTCTAAAACACCCAGTAATTCAAAGAGGTTAAATATGCCTTTCATTGCCTTTCAGGCAATCAGTTTCAAAAGTCTTAGGACAGATGCCACAAAACCTTTCAATTTCAACAAACGTCAAATTTATCAAACCTCGAAATTTATTCACTTTTGCCCGAAAATTAATTAATCTTGTACTGTCAGGACTGCCTCGTCCCTCGTCGCTTCAGTTGGGAATAGAGATCAGTGGAAAACAATAGGAGCGCGGTGCTTAATGGGAATGCGATAGAATCTGAAGCGACTCGGAAATCCCGCATCCAAGATGGCGTCCATTGTAAATTGTATTAATGGCCGAGATAATGCAAATAGGGAGGATTTTTCAAGGTCGTTATGTATGGCGAGGAAACGTTAAAGTATATTTCCTGTTTATTAAAGAAGGGTACGAAGGTACGTTCATTTACATTTTACATATTTTACGCTCAAAAATGTATCAATTGTCGCAATTTATTATTAATATATGTGCATATTTAAAAATATCAATCTTATTTTGACTGTTGTAGTCGTAGAGTGTAGACATTGGCAAGTAGTTCTTGGTTCGACGTTTCTGGAGAAGGAACGTTATTTCCATATTTGGCCAAGATCCGAAAGAAGTAAGAAGTTGCCAAAATATATGGAATGTTTCTTTTGCAGTTTGCACTATGTCAAAGTCAAACTAAAGACATACGCTGATCAAAATAATCCCTGTCGAATCTCAGGTGAAAAAATTGTTAAATTAATTTCTATTAATCAATCATTTTATAGCCTTTGCACCATGTGCAAGTAGCAAGGTTAAGGATGCCATCTTGAATATATTAATTGTTTTCACCATTGTGTTTGCGTAATTGCATCCCTTGCAAATTTACCTATAGGGAATTTTATTGTTTGCACCCCTTGCAGGAAGGAAGAGATTATTTCGCTGGCCCCAGAATGACAAAACGTATTAAACAAAGCAACAGGTTTACTAACACTAACCCTACTCAAAACACCAACTGTAACCATAATCCTTACCCTAACCCTACTCCAAATTTGTTTCTAAACCAATCTTGAAGAAAAAAGTTTTGACGAAATGTCATTCTGAGGTCAGCAAAATAGTTGATGCCTTGCAGGAAGGGTCAAGGGTCTATGCCAAGTCTATTGCTTTCAGTTTTTGAGGCTTAACACCATACAGACTTGGTTTCATTAATGCATTTTTCAAAACAAACCCTTGTGCACTTAATCAGCATCAGGTTTGAGTGATTCAAACAGTGATAGTACCTTAAAAAAGACCTGCTATACATAGGGATATCTCTCTTACCAGGCAAACCCAGCTTTCGC